TCTGGCGATCCTTCTGCCTCAGCCTTCCGAGTAGCTGGAACTACAGGTGCGCGCTACCACTCCCAGCTAAGTTTTTTATTTATTGTAGGGACGAGGTCTCACCAAGTTGCCCAGGCTGGTCTCGAACCCCTGGGCCCAGGCAATCCTCTCGCCTCGGCCTCCCAATGTGCTGGATTACAGGCTTGAGCCACTGCACCTGGCCTCACTGGGCCCCATTTTATTTGTAAAATGATGGTGGAACCATCCATGAAGCGGACTTCCCCTTCCTCCAGGTCGGTCAACCTCAGGATATCCCTAATAGGTCACATAATTTGTTCTGAGATGTGCTCCCCAGAAATCAGCTTCTTCAGACTCAATCCCCACCCTTGACAGTGACCTCACATTCTCAGCTGGTGCTCCTGAATCCCCCTCCACCACCATTCCTCCTCGGATCTCACCTTTTCTCCCCCCACCCACCCTCCTTCCTTCTCCTCTCCTGTCTCTCCTGTCTACACCTCACCCCGCACCTCCAGTTCCCTCCTGCTGCTTCAGGGGCCTCCGTGTCACTGCTCTTCCACTCGATGCCTCCCTGTGGCCTTGAACTTGGCACGGTTTTCTCTCTCCTCGCAAAAATCCCTCCCTTAAACTTGCATGTTTCCCCAGCAGTCCCCCCTTCGTGCTTTGGCTCCCGTGACAAGACTCTCGCAAGGATTCTTTTGGACTCCTCCCTCCCCTTCCCTGGCCTTCTGCTTGTCCTTCCAACTTTGCCTTCAGATCTGCCCTGTGCTGCCAGCCTCACACCCTCAGTTCTAGCTCGTGTCCTTGTCATTGGAAGCCCAGATTCCAGCCAGTCTTGCCAATAAATAATGTCCCACAGGGCAGGCGCTCCCTCCCAGCCACCTGCCTCCCGGTAACCTCCCCAGCAACTCATTCCTCCTCTTAAGACTTTCCATGTCTCCCCACTGCTTTCAGGGTCATGTCCACACTCTCAGTCTGACACTGAGGCCCCTTCGCAGTCTGCCCTGCCTGCCTGTCCACTTTGTCTCTGCTCTCTTTTTAATTCTTTAATTTGTCATGAAGCAGAAGATTGCACACATCACTTTCATTTTGGGTGAATTCTCAGTGAGTGAGTACACCCATGGAACCAGCGCCCAAATCAAGAAACAGAACATGAACAGGGCCCAGAAATCCTCCTCGTGTCCCCTTCCAGTCACTGCCACCCCTAAGGGGGACCGCTATCCTGCCTTCTAATACCATTGGCCTGTTTTTGTACTTTATATAAATGGAATTATACACCACATACTCTTTTCTTTTTGACTTTTTGGCTCAGTATTGTGTTTGTGGGATTTTAGATATTTTCGTACCCGGTAGGTGTTCCTTCTTATATTCATTGGTCTCCTCTAGCTTCTTTCTGCTTTTGCTCTCTTTCCAGAGCCATCAGGTGATTGTTTTTATATTTTGTCCAGAGCTCCCAATTGTTATCCATGCAAAGGCGGTCTGATGGGAGTGACTTTGCCGATACTAGGACCATTTGCCTCTCTTTTTTTTCTTTTTATTTTATTTTCTCTTTTTCTCTTTTTATTTCTTGAAGTCAGAATCTTACTCTCTCTCCCAGCCCGGAGTACAGTGGCATGGTCACAGCCACTGCAGCCTTGATCTGCTGAGCTCAGATGATCCTTCCATCTCAGCCTTATAAGTAGCTGGAACCATAGATATGAGCCACACCACTCCTGGCTAACATGACTAGGTCTCACCATGTTGCTCAGGCTGGTCTTAAACCCCTGAGCTCAGGCAATCCTCTCATTTCTGCCTGCCAAAGTGCTGGGATTACAGGCATGAGCCACTGCACCCGGTCTTATTTTTTTCTTTTCTTATTTTCTTTCAGATGACTGAATTTGTCTTTCTTCTCTTGCTCTTTTTTTTCCTCTATTTGTTTGGAAGTTACATAGTCTATGTCTATTCTTTAAAGTTGCCCCAATCATCTCAATGTTCAGTTTTTAGTTAGCAGCCGGGCTCAGTGGCTTAGGAGACTTTATATCCAACCAACCACTCCCAGCTTCTATGCTATTGTTACTCCTTGTTTTATCCTTTTCTATTTCATAAACTCTATCAGTTAGACTTTTTTTTTTTTTGAGTTGGAGTCTCACTCTGTCGCCCAGACTGGAGTGCAGTGGCCGCTCCCGGTCACCGCAGCCTCAACATGCTGGGCTCCAGCAATCCTTCCGCCTCAGCCTTCCAAGCAGCTGGAACTACAGGCACGCGCTACCACGCCCGGCTAATTTTTTGATTTATTGTAGAGATGAGGTTTCGCCAAGTTGCCCAGGCGGGTCTTGAACCCGCGGGCTCAGGCAATCCACTCACCTCAGCCTCCCAAAGGCGCAGGATCACAGACTGAGCCACCAAGCCCGGCGGTTGATTATTTTAAGGTTGAACTTCAGTACTTCTGGGATCCTTCTGCCCAAAGAATAACCTTTATAATTCTCTTAATAAGAATTGGTGGCTGGGCTCAGTGGCTCAGCCTGTAATCCCAGCACTTTGGGAGACCGAGGAGAATGGATTGCCTGAACCTGTGGGTTTGAGACCAACCCGGGCAACTTGGTGAGACCTCGTCTCCACAATAAATAAAAAAAAATTAGCCAGGCATGGTAGCACATGCCTGTAGTTCCGGCTACTTGGAAGGCTGAGGCAGAAGGATCACCTGAGACCAGAAGGTCGAGGCTGCGGTGGCTGTCAATGTTTCACCGCACTCCAGCCTGGGCAACAGAGTAAGACTCTGACTCAAAAAAAAAAAAAAAAAAAGAATTTGTTAGTGGCACACTCTTTTAGTTTTGTTTGCCAAAAAATTAAAATATTCGTATTTATTTCTGTCTCATCCTTGAATATCTTCACTGCATGTAGGATTCTAGAGTGTTATTTTATTCTAACACATCAAAGTTAGTATTCTGCTGCCTTCTGGCTTTGTTGGGTTATGCTAAGAAGTTCATCGGCCCCCTTTGCGGTGATCAAGCTATTCTTTCAGGCTGCTTCTAAGACCTTTTACTCTGATGCTCTCTACAGTTTTTGTATGCCACACATAGGTATGAATTTCTTTTTTATTTTTTTCTACTTGGAATTCATTGTGATTTCTAAATCTGGGGTTTGTTAGTCAGCAGTTTTGAAACATTTTCCAGAAATATTGGAAAAGACTGGCTTTTTTCCATTCTTTCTCTGCTCTTCTTCTGCAACTCTGATTAGGCCTTGTGTTTTGTTTTTGTTTTGAAAGCAGGGTCTTGCTCTGTCACCCAAGCCTGGAACGCAGTGGCAGTGGCGTGGTCATGGGGGTCACAGCTTGCTATAATCTCAAACTCCTAGGCTCAGGTGATCCTCCCAACTCAGCCTCCCGAGGAGCTGAGCCTACAGGAGCATGTCACTCTCCTTGTTGTCCCTTAACTTCTCTTTCACATTTTCCACTTCTTTGTTTTTATATACTAATTTTTGGATTACAGTTTTGGTGTTTTTTTTGACAGGGTCACCCAGGCTAAAGTGTAAGGGCATGATCATGGCTCATTGCAGCCTAAAATTCCTGAACTCAAGTGATTGTCCTGCCTCAGTCTCTCAAGTAGCGGGGACTACGGTGTGCACCACCATGGTTCAGCTAATTTTCTTGTGGAGACAAGGTCTCACTTAGTTGCCCAGGCTGGTCTTGAATTCCTGGCCTCAAGCAGTACTCTTTTTTTTTTTTTTTATGAGTTGGAGTCTCACTCTGTCTCCCAGACTGGAGTCCAGTCGCATGCTCACAGCCACAGCAGTCTCAACCTGCTGGGCTCAGGTGATCCTTCCACCTCCACCTTCCAAGAAGCTGGAACCACAGACTTATGCCACCATACCCAGCTGATTTTTTTAATTTATTGTAGAGCCACGGTCTCACCAAGTTGCCAAGGCTTGTCTCACACCCAGGGCTCAGGTAATCCTCTCACTTCTGCCTCCCACAGTGCTAGGATTACAGGCATGAGTCACCGCAACCAGTTTACATTTCTTTTCTTTTCTTTTCTTTTCTTTTTTTTTTGAGTTGGAGTCTCACTCCATTGCCCAGGCTGGAGTGCAGTGGCATGCTCATGG